TTTACATAAGTGAGTTTGAGTATTATATCATAGGTTTTATTAAAATTTTCATTTTAATAGTTGTTGATCATATTTGCATCTAAATCATGACTTAGATAATTTATTAATAATTCATATCATTTTTAATATGTATACTATCTTATTTCTATATTTCCAGACTTGCAATCCCAAATTATCAAATATTCTCCATTATCACTCATGGTCCCAAAAATGTTTCCAAAATTTTCACATTAATCAAATTCTATTCCTTCGACATATATACAATTCCAATTTTCAGAATCAAAGTTAAACTATATTAAATTTATAAAATATCCATTTTTAGAAATAAGTAATTCTCTAGAAGGTATATAAATTTAGGGAAATAATAGTAACCGCCTTATTCAGCTCCTTAAACTTATAGTTCCTTTGATTTTGTATATAATCCAGTAGATAGATCGATTGTGTAGAATTATAAATTTGTTCCATTGCATGGTTGAAATACAAAGATATCTTTTGTAATAAATGAAATACGAGAACCAAGCTCAGAAATCTTTTGTTTAACATACCATAATTATCCATTAAATCTTTCCATTAACAAAATTTGTTTATCTCTACCACAAGAAACTAATTTTGTACCATCTTGGTTTATAGATAACCCAAATACATAACTAGTATGTTCTCGAATAGTTTATGAGCAAGACCAAGTTGAGTATTATGAATAAGACCAAAATTTAATAGAATTATCAGTAGCTCCACTGATAATTAAGTTTTCTGAATTAGAATCTACAACTAAACATAAAATACCACGCATATGTCCTTTTAGTTTTGTTAAGTATTTGAGATTTTATAAAAGATTTGAGGACTAAATAATAATTGATGAATCATATGAACCAGAAATGAATTATGATTTACGCTTAAAGAAATTAAGAGTAGAAATTGAATTGCTATGCTTTTTATTTTATTGCAAATATTTTAGTTCATTTTTTAAATATATTACCTTGCCAAAAAGATTAGATCCTATAACTAATAGAGTATTATTCTTATTTATAGCTTATGTAAAAGTATGTATTAGATATTATTATGATATTGAAAGTAGAATCTAATAATTGAAGTGTTTTTATTAGTTATTTTACTTGGTTTATGATTATTATTGGATCATAATATAATTAATATAAAAAGTAATTTAATTAATTGCATTATTAATAATAAAAAATGGAAATTAATAATCAGGATGAGATTACTGATAAATTTATGTTTGATGAATGAAAATTATGATATAATTATGTAGATTTTAAGATGCCTACTTGATATGATTTAAATGAGTATTGTTCTTTATGATAAGATTATAATGACTTAAAGAATAAATCAAATGAATAACAATAAAAATGAATTAAAGTTATCTTTAGAATTAAAAATAACTAAAATTTAACATCAAAATTTGATGGACTTATAAAGAACATACTAACTAAATTATCAGTAGCATTGAATATTAAATCAGTGTAAGTTAAAATGAATTAAATACTAAAGAACCAGAGGTATAAATGTGGATTAAGAGGACGATAATCAAATTCTGTCAGCAAATTATAAAAAAATGAACATTTTCAATAAAGGAAGTATTAATATAATTATAGTATTCATAGTATTTTAATTAAATTCATTTTTAGAAAACACTATCTATAAATAAATTAAGTTCTAAACATAAATTTTAAATTGTAGCTATTTATTTAATTTAAATATAATAAATTTCTATAAGCAAAACCTGCAAAATAATATGCTATTACAAGGTAATTTATAGGAACAACTTCGATAATCATAGCCAAATTATTTGGCTTTTCTATGCCTATTGCTGATCTCTCAAATTATATTCTTTATCACATTGATTCATTTAA